CCTGATGTGAAGAACATTTCACTCTAATTTCTGAAAGGAAAAATGGAGCCACTTGTAATAACAGACTTCTTGAAGGCGGTCACAAAACCGCAGACTGAAATTCTTTTGGCTGTAGGAGGGGCTTGGGGCGGGACTCTAGAGAGCTGTTTGTTCATAAAGCCTGAGAGTGTCCCTCATGCCCTGTGCACTCCTCTGGCTGTGTGTTACTGAGCTCTACCTCTCTCCAGGCCTTCATTCACTCATCTGCTCACTCACTTCCAGCGACCATGAGTATGAGAACCAGCTACAGTGTGCGTTCCTCCACCTCCCAGGTGCCGATGTCCCATATGTCTATCAAGCGTACCACCAACGTGCCAACTTACCGGGCTGCAAGCATCTATGGCGGCGCTGGAGGTCAAGGCACCCGTATCTCCTCTGCGTCCTACTCCGGTGTCCGCAGTGGAATGGGAGCTCCCTCAATGTCCAGCTCCATCCATGTGAGTGCCTCCGGGTCCACAGGTGAGATCATGGGCAATGAGAAGATGGCCATGCAGAACTTGAATGACCGTCTGGCCTCCTACCTGGACAAAGTGAGGACCCTGGAGCAGGCCAACAGCAAGCTGGAGCTGAAGATCCGCGAGGCCCTGGAGAAGAGAGGTCCTGATGTCCACGACTACAGCCGTTTCCAGCCCATCGTTGACGAGCTGCGCAAGAAGGTTAGTTTGAATGAGTGGGAGAAGGGTACAGGAAATGTATGGCCACTATAAAGAACTTAATGTGACAGACTAATTGTGCAGCTCAGTGTTTATTAACAGTCTAGTGAACATTTATTTGGTTTCAGGACAAAAACTAACAAAACAAAGGCATTTCTTTGTCATTTAAAGCTGGTTTGATTTAAAGGGGCTGAAAGAGAGTTTACTGATGGCCAGCACTGATAGGCAGAGAACCAAAAAATAAACTATGGGTGAAACTAAAAACAGGGGAAGGCATGGGGGAGGGAGTCTCAGTCTCAACAGGACGCCGGTATTCCGGTGAATAAGCATTTCCATCCTGTATTAACCCTTGTCCTGTTAAACATCCAGATGTTTGTTTATTCCCTGTGGATGAAAACTCTGGGATCTGAGATGTTTTAGCGTCTCTGTGTGTGTGTCACAAGGGAAATGGAAAAGTCGAGGGAGTTCAGAGAGTGCAAAATGCGCCCAGCTGTGAGACTTTTCTGAACTACCTCAGAGCAAAGCTAGCTATATTCATGTAATTTTTGCTGTTCTACATTTTCTTGAAAAGTTTGAGTTCATAAAGCAGATACTGTAAATGATAACAGACTAATTAGAGTCAGTTTCACACCAATTGTTTCTTGAAGCTGAAATTTATAGCTAATATGTCACTGATAACCAGACAGTGTTATAGGAATGATTGGTTTTTCATTCATCAGTCACAATACAGTAAAGTGACAGGTAGATTAAATTAAAACAATTAAATTCCTATTCCTCAAGGTTTTCTACAGTCACAAAAGTAAATAGGATTAGCCATGAGATTAACCTGATGAAAAGATAGATGACGTTTGGCAGTGGAAGGAATTTTACAGTTTAAAGGTTAAAAACTCAGTGAAGTATACAGTACATATAACAATTAATATATATTATATAGAAATAAACATTTATTTCAATTAAAACATACTGAACATTTAAGTAGATCTATTGTTAGTAGATACATAGCCAACACCCTTTAGCATATGGAAAAATATGTTAAGCTCACTATTGTTAAACTATAATATATCTCCACCCTTTTCCATGATGACAGGATATGCTGGCTTTCAAACATGGAAAGCATTTACACAACAAAGTACATCAGCTTAGAAAAAACAGGAAATCCAACTCAACCCCTGCCTTTGCCGCTACACAACTTAATTTACAACCCTCAAACAGAGACGCTTTTCCAACATGGCAGTTGATTAATGATTATGGACTGTGAAAAGGACTTTGTCCTCCAGTACCTCTTATCTAAGCAAACCAAGGCATCATGGCAGAAGACAGCTCCAGTGACCATGTGTTTTACACATTATGTACTAAAATTTGCATATGTAAAACAGTTAAAGTTAGGTGTGTCATAATTACACATTGCATTGTTCAATGGTAGGTTTCCTGTGACTCTTTGGTATTACCCTTTTGACTGATTCAAATGATTTCTGTTTTGGTTGTAGATCTTTGATGCCACCACAAATAATGCCCGTCTAGTGCTCCAGATTGATAACGCCCGTCTGGCAGCTGATGACTTCAGAGTCAAGTGAGTAACAGAATTGTAAAGTATAGCCAACATTTTGACCTCATGGAGAGTTTCCTAGTTTTGAAGAGTGACCCATTGACCTATGTTGTGCCTGCAGGTATGAATCTGAGCTGTCCATCCGCCAAGGTGTAGAGGCCGACATTACCGGCTTGAGAAAGGTCATTGATGACACCAACATGAACCGCATGAACCTTGAAAGCGAGATTGAGGCCCTCAAGGAAGAGCTCATCTTCCTCAAGAAGAACCATGACAATGTGAGTACACATCTGGCACATTTGGACATTAGCACATCTGGAAACATTTGTCTACTGCATCATTTATTATGGGCGTTACTTTAAGACATATTTCATGGTCTCTCCACCCAACAGGAGGTTATGGAGCTTCGTAACCAGGTCTCCCAATCGGGAGTGCAGGTGGATGTTGATGCTCCTAAGGGACAGGATATTGCTCTGCTCATGGAGGAGATGAGAGCCAAGTACGAGAAGATGGCCCTGAAGAACCAGGAGGAGTTGAAGGCCTGGCACGAATCTCAGGTATATTCCAAAAGACAATCATTTTCTTGCGACCAAGTCTTGCTAAACACCGTTAAATGTCGATGCCTTTGTTTTGGGGCTAATGTGAAATTTCGGGCTCTCTCTAGATCACAGATATTCAGGTACAAGTAACACAGAACACAGAAGCCCTCCAAGGTGCTCGTACAGAAGTCAACGAACTTCGCAGACAAATTCAGACGTTGGAGATCGAGCTGGAGTCACAGAGGAACCTGGTGAGTTTTCCTTGTAGCCATTGTAGAAGCTACCATTTTGCATCTGGACTTTCCAATCCTTTAATCCTATTTAGCTGTATTTTTCCAAGTATCGTGTCTTGAATTTGTCTTGAGACTTGTTCTTCGTGAAGTTGGCTAAAAACTAACTCTTGGGTTCTCTTTGCTTCATTCTCCAGAAAGGATCCCTGGAGGCCACCCTCCGTGATACAGAAATGCGTTACAACATGGAGATCGAGAGTCTCAACACTGTCGTCCTGCAACTGGAGTCTGAGCTCACAAACCTGCGCAACAACATCCAACACCAGACTCAGGAGTACGAGGCTCTGCTGAACATCAAGATGAAGCTGGAGGCAGAAATTGCCACCTACAGGAGGCTTCTCGACGGTGGAGACTTCAAGTAAGTTTTCTTCAGAAGCATACAAAGTTTGCACCATTTGTGTACACATGTAATGCGGCTTTGTTTTAAAACTTTGTGGCTAGATTTGCTGGAGTATTTGTTTTGTGTGGTTGGTAACAAGCATTTTTTTCTCCTGCAGGCTCCAGGATGCTCTTGACGAGCAAAAGAAGGTTAAAGTGATGACTGTCACACAGACGCTGGTGGATGGAAAGGTGGTGTCTTCAAGCACAGAGACCAAAGAGAGGAAACTCTGAACATCAAATTTCAGATCAACCTCCACAACACATCAGAAAAACCTTTTGGGCCAATGATAAAATGATCTAAAAACAGGTTGGACTTAACACATTAGATATTTATTTAGTTAGAAGTGCCTTATTGTAAGGGTCTCAGAGCACATATGCAATGAGACTTAACTAGCACATTTCAACACTAATTTAAAACAACAAATTTAACACTTAGACTATAGCCAAAAAAGACTGAATGTCAATGAACACTATTGAAACTTTACTACATATTTTTGTAACGACAATGATTGTTTACGCCGAATCACAGATTGTCCCATTTCGTTTCTATGTTGTGTTGTTGTCATCATGTCTTGTCTTTTCCAATAAAAGATGAAACTTTTATCAAATCTTTGTATTCTGCTTCTGTCATTAAAGTTATGACTATAACATTAGTCTGATCAAAATAGTTTTGAGCCTCAAATGCAATCATTCTTTGCATCCAGGTTTAGAAATAAAGCCGTTCTGAGGGTAATACAATTAAGTGGCATACTTGGAACTGAAAGTTTTTTTAATTAAAAAATGTATATAATTTAAAAGAAAAATAAATAATTGGTGGTTATGTGAAAATTAGCTAAAAAAACTGGAAAACTTACTAAATGCTGCTTGCTTTCACAAAAAAAGAAAGAAAGACAACTGCATTTTACAACCAACTATTAAATAATGTCAGTTGTGATAAGACCTTTTGTTGTGGAAAACAGTATCTTTCATATTTATTTCAGCCACTGTGATTTAAGAGATATTCATATCATGAGGACAGAAAAAGGAGCTTGACTTTGGTAATTCATTCATGCAGAGACAGCATCCAAGGAGCCCCTGTAAGATGTTGTATGAACCAAACTATTTGATACAGGTAGTCCATATTAGGACCTATTTGAAGACATTCCCTAATTGAAATGGATTCTAAAAGACATTACTCAAAAAGTGCCAAGTGAGGTTTAACGATAGAGATGAAATTAAATTGGCATCATTTACTCACCTCATGTCATTGCATACCTGAATGCATTTCTTTCTTGTGTTCTTCAGAACACAAAAGAAAATACTTTGAAAAAAGTTTCAAAAGTGGTTGTCCACACAATGAACGTCAACAGGGTCCAAAATAGCACTGGACAAAATTTACTTTTATTGTACGGACCAAAAATATTTTCTAAATGATGGCAGAATTTTCATTCTTGGGAGAAATACTTTCATCAGGAGACCTATTGGTTTGATTTCCTGGTTATTAGAACCATAACACTAAGCAGTGGGTGGGGTGGGAGTCCAGGGTCTAAAGATAATATAAATGTGTCTACATCTTGTGAAGTGTAAAACGATAAAAATCTCATTCCTCTCAGAACCAGAAGTTGCATCTGATCTCCTTTTCATTAAAGATATCTCTGCAGAAAATTTAGCAAAATGCAAAACTTCAGCATTCAAAACAAACGAATATACAGAATGTCATCAGAGGATCTCAGCGTGCCAAGACCTACATTTTACTCTTGGAGAAGTGCTGGGAACAGGGGTTCCTTTTCCAAGGAGATCTTTGGATCTAACACTGCACAAATGGGGCATGTTGGAAATGCTACAAATGAAAAGGTAACCATGCAAATCCTGAATGAACGTCTTGCTTCCTACCTGGACAAAGTTAGGAGTTTGGAGAAGGCCAATGGCGAGCTGGAGGTGAAAATCCACCAGGTTCTGGAGAAAAGAGGTCCAGATACTAAGGACTACAGTCACTACCAAGCCACACTAGATAAAATACGCAAAGAGGTAATTGGTACTTCTGTCCACTGAAATGTCTCTAACAATATTGCCATTTGTAAAATCTCAATATGCATCATTATTCGTTTTCTACATTTACTTCATTGCTTAGACATTTGCATTTCTGTGAGGTTGATTGTAAATTTTATAGATAGTATTAACTGGTTCATTCATTGCTCTAAATTATTGTCCAACCTCATCCACAACAGCTTCTACTATACTACTAGGCATTAATGCTTGGGTGTAATGAAAGGGATTTAGGTTCAGTTTCAAAGTAATGATGACTCAAAAACTGGACCTTGAGCGTGTCCTTGAGTAAGGCATATAATACATTCTTGAGAAGTGGCTCCTTTATATTGGCCTTAGATAATTGACTAACAATAAGCTGTATTGTACCTTTTTTGGTTATGTCCATTTAGATCCTGGAAATGGTTTTAAACAATGCAAATATGGGTGTTCAAATTGACAATTCCAAGTTGGCTGCCGAAGACTACAGGGTCAAGTAAGCTGGTTTTAAAGACTACATAAAATCAAACTATGTTTTGTGGGTTTTATTCCATTTATATTAGATGTGAGGCCATTTATATGTCAAGAACAACTTGCAAATGTGCAAGTTGACAACTTGTAGCATTTAAAATGTACAGTTTTTTTTGTCTGATGAATCAGTTTGAGTCAAATTTTTGTCCATTGAAACTCTAAATTGAGAATGTCCCTCCCCTTAATTCAACCAGCCACCAAAGCAATAAAAAAGAAAAAGTATTAATTCTCATTAATGTAATGTCTATAGGTTTGAAAATGAATTTCAGCTAAGACAGTCTGTTGAAGCAGACATAAATGCACTAAGAAAGATGCTGGATGACACCAATGTGGCACGACTGCATCTGGAAAATGATGTTGAAGGGTTGAAAGTAGAGCTCATCGATTTAAAGAAACAACATCAACTGGTAAATACATTTGATTATATTATTACACATAAATAAATAATAATCATATTAAATTACAACAGATCAGAGAGTGCAGTAGCTCACAAAAACAGTACGAGGGCCCAAGATCTAACCCTGTGGAACCTCAAATCTATTTATCAGGAAGTATCAGAATTATATAGTCAGATCACCCACTCAGGAGTGCAGGTGGATGTTGATGCTCCTAAGGGACAAGACTTGACCAAGATCATGGAGGAGATGAGAGCCAATTATGAAAAGATCGCCCTCAAGAACCAGGAGGAGCTCAAAGCCTGGCACGAATCAAAAGTGGGGCATATTTTTTATTGCAAAGTTTACACTTAATTTCTGTTTTAAAGACAAGAAAAAAATGTAATTCTCAATTTTTTTGTATAGATCACTATGGTGCAGGTTCAAGTGACCGAGAACACTGCAGCATTAAAGGGAGCCAGAACACAAGTCAGTGTGAGCCGCAGGCAGATGCAGTCTTTGGAAACAGAACTGCAGTCTCTGACTGGAAGTGTAAGAGATTCTTCCTGCACACTTTGATGGAGCTGCCTACTTTTGAACATATTACTCATGTTTTTTTTATTTTTTGCCTTTTCTTACAGAGAGCATCTTTGGAAGAAGCTCTTCATGAAACAAAGTTGCGATATGGCATGCAGGTGGAGCAATACAATGGCATTATTTTGATGCGGGAGTCTGCGCTTAAGCAGCTGCGTGAAAGCATTCAAAGTCAAACACTGGATTATCAGATCCTGTTCAACATCAAGATGGAGCTGGAAGCTGAGATAGCCACATACAGGAGACTTCTGGATGGAGAGGATAAAACATTTACTTTGTAATTTTTGTATCATACATGTTGGCCATGGCTATTTCTCCTTCATGTTAATAAGATATTTGAGAAAATATTAGAGACCAATATTAGAGACCACTAGTGGACGGGAAAAAGTGATAAACAAAAACGAGATCACTGCTGTTCATGAAAGATAAGAGCACAAGCCAATATCTCACGAATCAAAACCATTCATAAATACTATGAATATTTTTCAGTACAGTATTTCTGTTGAATCAGATTTGAACATATGTTGGAAAGCCAATTCAAACCATACAGTGTATCTCTACTTGAACTTTGTTGTTTTATCAATGTCAAAGTTTCAGTTTCTTGTTATGAAAAATTGGACCCTAGTCTAATGAGCATTTTGAACATGTCATCACAGTGAAAGAAAACAGTCAGTGGCGTCCGATTCCATTTTCATTTCACAAAAACATTCCACCAGTCAATCATAATAACGGAAAGTGCGAAATGCAAATAAAACGATGGTCTTGTTTTTGTACTTCAAACTAACAACAACTATGGACAGTTAACCTATCGACAAATAAATATATAAACAATGCTCTCTTGTATTATTATTTTTCACAGTAAGGTGTTAAAAGAATGATTGATTACCCTATCTTTTTGGAACTAGCACTTGACAGGTAATCTTTCTTAGTAATCAGTCTAAATGAGAAACTGAAAGCTGTCAGACTAAACATAAACAATATTAATCCATTGAGCCTGTAAGCATTTTGCCTCCCAGGCATGATGGGTCAGATTTCCAGGGTAGAATTTAAGAAGAAAACAATTGTAAAGTATCCAATGACAATATTATAAGTTCTCTGAGCATTATAAGTCTGCTGTGTTTACAGAGAAACCCCTATCAGAAATCCAAGCTTCATGCCACGTTTTCTTATTTTTATGTTGTGCAAATTCCCACTTAAATCTGGCATATTAGTATCAGTTTTATACAAATCTGTGGAGGCAAACCCCATGAACTGACTTGAAAATGTGGCAGTGCACAGTGACTAAGTATAGAATGTTCCACTGTGGGCCTGTAAAAGCGGGAATTTGCGGCTAACTGTGAAGCACTGTTTCCACTCAAATCCTCCTTCGTCACAGTTGGAGGAGCGTATTCCGAGGAAAAAATGGTTGGTTTGCAAATGGCGTTGTCAACGCAGACATTTGTGGATGGAAAACTGAAGCTGACAATCTGGGCAAGTTTTTTGAGTTATAGAAATATACTAGAGTTTCTTCCAACATGCAACAGAAAAGAGTTGTGTAAGCCTTTCAATCAAAAGCAAAAAAATTGCGATCTTAAAGGGTTAGTTCACCCAAAAATGAAAATTATGTCATTAATGACACACCCTCATGTCGTCCCAAGCCCGTAAGACCTCCGTTCATCTTCGGAACACAGTTTAAGATGTTTTAGATTTAGTCCGAGAGCTTTCTGTCCCTCCATTGAAAATGTATGTACGGTATACTGTCCTTGAGTCATTAATGACATAATTTTCATTTTTGGGTGAACTAACCCTTTAATCATTTAAATGTGCACACTCTAAAGTAATTTTAGTGCTTTTCACACAAATGGAATCCTGGGTTATCTTGCTTTACATTTCACAGAATTTACCCGGGGTTAACAATAAATCCTGGGTATTCATAAACTGACATTTCACATTGTACATTCCTAATCCATGGGTTAATGTCCTTATTTGGATATTTGGGGTGTCAGTGTCATTGACTGGACGAACGCTGCACACAATATGTTTACATAAGGCTCTAGCATTGCCCATCCTCATATTATATATTGCCGACTGTATCATAAAGTTTACCCTGAAGGGATTTTTCGGGCTCTAAAGGTAAGAATAATAAAATACCTTCTTCTCTCCAATTGCACAATTTTTTCACGTCACATTTTCTTTCACCATTTGACATTTCCCCCCTCAAACGCTAAAATCACTGTTTATACAATACACAATGTTTCCGTCACTGTCCAAAGCACGTTAATATAAGGCATGCTATTGGATGTCGGTTGCAGAGCATCTAACACTGTGGTTTCAAAGTTGTACAGTATGAAATGATGCAATGAAGGGTAGACCTTGCAAAAGCAGCGCTAACCCTGTTCCGGAGCTTAACCCTGGGTTATCCTAGTGCTAACCCCGCTTTTAAATGACAAGTGTAAACATTCCTTTACCTGCGGTTAAAAAAGAAGGGGGTTTAAAACAGCGATAACCTGGGGTTAAGTGCAGTGGGAATTTTTACTTTTTTGTACACACTGATGCCCTTCTTTTCAAAGCCTTATTGAATAAATAGGTTGGTGGAAAAGGAGACTTTACTAAGATCACATGATACAACAAGTTCCCACTTCTGTACGGCCCACTCAACTCATTTTTTATTCTGTCCAGACAGTTACACAAAATGCTTTTGTGCCACTGTAAAACAACAATTGAGCAATACAGTACAGTATATGATCCAAGGCAGTATAGTCATAGTATAGGCTCAAAGGGATAGTTCACCCAAAAATGTACTTTCTGTCATCATTTACTCAAGTAGTTCCAAACTTGTATGAGTTTCTTTCTTCTGCTGAACACCAAGAATATATATTTTGAAGAATATGGGTGACCAAACAGTTGAAATATCTTCTTTTGTGTTCGGCAGAAGAAAGAAACTCATACAGGTTTGAAACGACATGAGGGTGAGTAAATGATGACAGAATTTTCAGTTTTGGGTGACCTATCCATTTAAGGGTGTAATAATCGTCTTGACACTCGGTACTAACTCCATACAGTCACATGACTTTGCGTAGACTGGTACATTTTTACTTTTGCATTAGTCAAACATTTCTAGGATGTAATTGTACATCCTCTGTTTTCCCATAATTATGGGAAGGTCCCGCATTCTTACTGAACAGTGACTCACTACTAAACATCAATGTTTATTTTTTTATGCTTCCCTGGGCGCTCGGAATGCACGCAAGTACCCTTGTATGGGTATTTTCTATTTCCTTTACGCCCCCTTAAATTCTCAATGTGGTCAGTGCATAAATTAGCTCTTGAAAACTTGTGCTACACATTAACTTTACCTGGACATTTTACATTTTTGGAAGAAATTGAATGGTGCTTGGTCATGCAAAACTTGCTGACACAGTGCCAAGTTGTGGGTTGCAGAAACGAGAGAGAGAGAGAGAGAGAGAGAGAGAGAGAGAGAGAGAGAGAGAGAGAGAGAGAGAGAGAGAGAGAGAGAGAGAGAGAGAGAGAGAGAGATAGAGATAGAGATAGAGATAGAGATAGAGAGAGAGAGAGATGTGATCCTTTCAATCCCACATAACTCCCATTCCTCATGTCTGTTCTTCCTGGACAGGAGATTACCTCCAGATATCCCTCGCAGGTGCGGCTTTCATAAAACCTGAGCCAAACTCCCCCTTCCTTCTCTTGTTTTTGTGTTACCAGGGTGGGCATTACCCCTGTTCTACTTTTAAAGTGGACTTTGATGATATAGCAATGTTTAAGCTATTCGTAAAGATGCTACTAAGTACAGATGTACAATTATACACCACTGTATATAGTACAGTTTTTCAGAAATTTTCTTGACAATGCATGCATTTTTGGGTGATTGGTCTGAAAGCACCAGTGATCTCTTGCATTCCAATCCAAACACATACAGTAGTATTTTTGGTGTGTCAATGACAACTGGCCAAGAGAAGTTTATAGTAGATTGTAGGTTTTGCTCAGAGTCATACGGTGAGCAACAGGACTGGTCGACTCAAAATCTCCAAAGAGTACTTAAGAAAAAACGTAGTACGGTAAGAAAAAAAAAATAGCTGTTGAAAGACTGCAAGATGGCCGTTAGATTTCCCCATGTGCGTTTAGAGTGTAATGTGGCGAACAGCACACAGCCAACCATTTTGGCAACCTCCTTTTTTAATTTAGGGGAAAAACCCAAAGGAAATTTAACCAGTATAACTATGGCAACCAATAACACATCCAAACCAGACTGTGGTGACACCATGGAAACTAAACTCTGGCCAACGTATAGGGGAATAAGAGTCAGCATACAGTATGTGAGTTTAGAAAGACTGAGCTTGTTCAGTGAGCTATATATAAAACAGTAGTGGGAGGAGCCCTTCAGCCAAAATTACACATCATTCAAATTACACTTCATTTACTTGAGATTATTATACAGCATTATAGTAACCACACTCTTGAGGGAGTTTACAACTTCTAACGATAAAATCAAATGTTCTTGTTGACAGTTACTAAACAAAATCATTGGGATAAACTGATGGCTCGTGATTTGTTTAAGCTGAAGATTCAACAAAACACAAATGATCCTTTTCTCATTTGGCGTACAAAGAAAATAAATGGAAAGAGAAAGACATACACTAATACACAGAATAAAAAAATTGATGTAAGATTTAATAATAAAAAAAAAAATTCACTCAGGTTGCCTGTAAATTTTGACAGCGGCTATTTGCACTAAGTGAACATATATTCTATTTGCACTCTCCTGTCTAACTTGCTGCTGATCGATTGCTCCTGTCTGCCCTGCTACTGGTTTGCGTCTGTATGCTCCATATAGCTTTCTGTTTTGAATCTCTATTTACTATCATTCCTTTTTGTTTATATTGCTAAATATGACTTACTCATCAACATATATTAGATATATATGACATCGCTAGCTTTTATCTAAATCGTTATCGCTAGCACAACACGCTAGTATCTCGCTAGCCTTAGCCTACCATCCGTGCTTGCCGTCTTTTTTTTCTTTTCTTTTTAACGCTCACGCTTTTTACGAGTCTATCAAACAACTGTGGTAAGCAGGATCAGTCAACAAACACGGTGAGTAATGTCTTCTCCTGTTATTGTCACTTGCACTTCGGGTCACATGTATAGCATAGCCTTCTCTGTCAGCACAGAGGGCTTTTCATGTGATAAATGCAGCGAGATAGTCAGGCTGACGGAGAAGATTTCAGAACTAGAGACACGCATCCAAACTTTAATCGAGGATAGTACAAATGCAAGGGCTTTAGAGACTGCTTTGGATGCGACTAGCTTAGTGAACTCTGTACATTGTTCGGTTCCGGCTGTAGAGCCTGTGCAGCAGGGCAACTGGGTGACCGTGAGACGC